TACCCGGTGGCCATTTTGAAACCGCCGATCAGCTGGAGGAAAATCGTCATTTTGCGAAGAATCGGTTCCTGAAGCAGGGAACCGATCATCACAAAGCGAAAAAACCCCATTCAGACCATCGTTTTGCGATTGTTGTAATGCGGTTTCATCGTAATGCGGGGCAATCATAAAGTGAGGCACCACTGTAACAAAGCAGCTAAAAATAAATGTCAGCTCTAAAATCTTCTCAGGCAGAGATATAAAGATCCCAAGGTGAACAACATCTTGGATGACATGGGGCTGATTGAGACCAAACACAATGAGAGCTTAATAATAAATCATAACAGATACTAATTTGCAAGCAGATGTGGAACATACATCAATCAATCAACAATTGTACCCTATAAGAAGGTGCATCTCCATCAGCATCCTGCAAGAGGGATGCTTAACATGAAGAATATAATCTAATATGTGGACTAAAACATATAAAGCTACTCAAGCTGGAGGACAGATTTCAGGAAAGCTGGACTACAAGTCCTATGATAGCTCAGGAATTGTCGCAGCTGAAGTCCCAATAAAAGCAACTTTTCCCCCAAGGTCTATAAAGAAGCCTTAAGAAATGATAACAGAACCAAGACCACAGCATACTGGTTAAGAAGCAGCACTGCTCTAGCAGAAGGTTGATGTTTTATGGACCAAGCAGAAACTTCTGCTTCCCCTTCCATCATCATAAATCACCATCATCGCTACCACTATCATCTTAGCTGGAAGAGACCCAATGGGTTATCAAGCTCAACCCCTGTCAAAGTAAGAAATCGAACTCTCCACCTCTGGATCCAGCTGTTTGCCCCCTTCTTAACATGAAATCAGTGCCCTCTCGAGTCCATTGTCTGCATTGTTCATTGAGTTGCAGGACAGAATATGTTTTGCAGCATTATGATACAGAGAAAGCGAGATGCAGAAAGCTCAGAGGGTACCATACCTAGAAAGGCTACAGTCTCGCGAGTCTCCTCCATGACCTCCCTGTGCAAAGCCCTTTGGTCTGGACCCAGCAGAGCCCACTCCTCATCCGTGAAGTCCACGGCCACCTCCTCGAAGCTCACCAGACCCTAGGAAAAGAGGAGGGGGGGGAACAAGTTGTTACATAGCTAATTTAACCACCACAAAAGGGAGTCAAAGCAAGGTGGCTGCCTTTTTTCTTGTAAATAATTCCACTTTAAGGACCATGATGGAAGAGACTGGAAATAAAATGTGCCAAAGTTGAATGCCATTTTATGAGCTTATCCAGCAGCCATCTTGGCAATACTGAGAAAAGTTTGGTCGCCCCACGCTGCCCCCTTCCAAGACTTAGAAAGAGTGCAATTGCATGATAAAAGTTCCATAATTCATATTGTGCAATCACTTACCCTCCTAAATATCAAAGAAGTTAAGAAAGAAGTTAGACAAACATGCACCTTGATTGCTCAGGGGTTTAGGTCTCCGGCTGTGGAGCTAGAGGTTGGGGGTTCGATTCCCCACTGGGCTTCCTTGACAAGGGGCTACACTTGATGATCTCATAAGGTCCCGTTCAGCTCTGAAGTTCTGAGATTACTAAGATAATGCTATCAGTTGCTACTAGGTGTGATGGTTATCTTGGAAAATGTACACGCACAGTATATGTATGTGTTTGTAGGAAAAGGACTACAATATGTGGTGCCCCGCATAGCGACGATAATCCGTGCAGCAAAAATTGCTGCAAAGCAATTTCGTCGCTATGCGAAATAATAAAGCCCATAGGAATGCATTAAAACCCGTTTAATACGTTCCTATGGGCAAAAAACTCACCTTTAAGTTAAAATCCTCCATACGGCAGCCATTTTTGCTGCCCGGTAAGCGAGGAATCCGGGCAAAAACACAGCGGGTGGCCATTTTTTACCCGGTGGCCATTTTGGAACCACTGATCAGCTGTTGGGAAATCATCGCTATGTGATGATCGGTATGCGAAACAGCGTACCGATCATCGCAAAGCGATTTTTTACCATTTAAAACATCGCAATGTGATCGCTTTTGCGACTGCAAAAAATTCGTCGCTATGCGGATTCATCATTAAACGGGGCGCCCGTTAAGCGAGGCACCACTGTATTTGCATAATAAAACATTCTGACCATCAGAATGTGTCTGGTGTTAGCCAGATAGATATATAAAGCAAGTAGCAGTTAACAGTCAAGCAGATAGAGACAAATATATGATAAGATATAATTCTGTCAGAAGGGTGTTAGATATATGATAGATGATAGTATATAAGATCAAATGATATCGATAGGATGGTGCTGACAGGTTTAGCTGTTAAATGAGTTTGCTGTCTATTAGAGTAACTATGTCTGTCAAGTTTAAGAATCATATGCTAACATAACTAAGTCCAGCACCAGTTTATGTATAAAGCACCAAATGTCAAAGCACTGTGAGTTTATTCTATTCTACATAGTTTTTAAACAGTACAAGTTCTTTAATGTTTTGAACAAAAACCAAGTGATCATTTTATTTACTCTTAACTGCTGGCACACGTGCACGCACAGACACAAGGGAGAATAAAATTTTACTCTGTGTGGGTTTTTTTAAAACATAACACTTGAAACCCCTGTGTGCAAACTCTGTCAGTTACATGTTTTTAAAAAATAAACCAACAGGTTATCTGTCACACCTCCAGTAAAAGAGGCCGTGATCGTGGGACGGTAATGCTCTCCTTCCTATCCGGCGTGTCGACTTCCTAGAGAGATCTTTTTAGCCACTGTGGGGAAAAAGATGACAAGACTACATGGGGGGGGGCTCAGCTCTAATACAGAAAGCCTGCTCTCCCATTTTTATCTTTTCAAACATCAAGAGGCCCAGATAGTTCCCCAGCTTCCAGAACTTCTTCTCTGCTTCTTCTACCTGGTCTGGTCCTACAGCAGCCATTTCTGCTCCTCAAGGAGAACGTCTTGAATACAGATCCAGAATCATTTCACCTGTGGGCAGGACAGAGAAGGTCGGTAGATATTTCATCCTTGATAAGTATTTCGATAGCTGCCTGGATAGGTAGTTTAGGCATCGGACTTTGGAGCCAGACATTGGGAATTCAATTCCCCCACTGTGCTTCCTGGGAGGAGAGCCAGCCTGGGTGGCCTTGGGCAAGCTGCACAATCCCACGATGCTTCCAGAAGAAAGAATGGTAAACCACTTACTGTATGTGTGTTCTTTGCCTAGAAAACCCTAGAAAGGGCTGCCGTTAAGTGGAAATCAACCTGACAGCATGCAGTTATATTAGTTAAGTATTTTACATCTCCTTTACTACACTGCGATTCACCTCTTGTCTGTGATGCTTTGCAAGGGGCACTAAATTGTTCTCACTAGAGACTGTTCTCCCCATACAGGAGGAACATGATTCAGAGGAATATATGAGTTTAAGGAGGGGAGCAAAGAGCACCTTCTCATGAACCAACATAGTTTGTGATCTCCAGTCTATAGAAATTTGTACTTGTCACCTTCAGGACTGGCAGCAAAAAGGAAAAGAAGCTGTGGCAAACTGCTTCATTGGGAAAGCCACCCCTTGCCATCTTTGGGGGGGGGGGGGAAACTAGCATCAGATTTATTCAAAACTAACTGCGAAAGCCACCCCTTGCCAGCTTTGGGGGGTGAAACTAGCATCAGATTTATTCAAAACTGGCTGGCAACTGGTTTTCAGTGACTCCAAATTTGTAGGGAAATCCAAAGGTGGGAATCTGCATTGGGAACTTCCTGTCCGAGGAGAAAGGAAAATGGGGTGCCCGATGAGACTTTTCTGGACCGACTCCAGATGCAACAGATCTTACAGCCTTCCTCCTTTGGGGGGAACGAGGGGAAGAAGGATAGAAACCGCCCCTTCCCTTTCCATGTCCTTTCCTTTCAGGGGCTGAGCATCTGGGACCAATCCAAACCCAAGGGCGGGATATAAATCAAATCAATACAAATCAATTCAATTCAATTCAAATCAAATCAAATCAAATCAATCAATCAATCAATCAATTAATCAATCAATAAACTCCTTGCATCCTCCTCCTCCTCCTCTCCCTGGGGGGAGTGTCCTCTGCACCCCAACACCCCTTACCTTCCTCTGATCCCTTGAAGGGGCGTGAAGATTGCATTGCATTGCATTGCACCCCTCCTCTTTTCCAAGGACCCCCCCTCGCAAGCATCTGCCACTCACCAGCTCCCTAGGAAAGAGGGCGTGGCTGCACAGGTCCCAAGCGGGGAAGGCGATTGGCTCACTCCCCACCCGGATATGAAAAGAAAGAAGGGGTTATTCCGAAGTAGGCTGAGCGTTTGCCTCTCTAGGACTCGGAACTCGCCCATTTTAACCCTGAAGGGGATCCCTTCGTGCTTCCTCTCTTTCTGCAGGGATGATGCTTCTGTACTCTCTCTTTCTCTCCATCCTTCTCCGAGTTCGAAAAACTTTTTTTAAAAAAACCTACAAATCCCAGCATCCCTCAACCAGCAGCGTTGTGCCGGCGAAATGCTGATGGGAGTTGTAGTCCAAAGGGACATGAGCGAGGGGGGACGGGCATGGTGGTGCCTCGACTTACGAACGTCGCACCAATATAGGAAACCCTGTTGAATTTTCATGTTTCTGCCACATCTCCATCATCTTGCTCTCAGGGCCCGTTTTCCGAACAGTACCAGCCTGGAACTGGTCTATTTCAGCTTCTGCTCTCTTTCCTTTTGACAATCACTCACAATCCATGAATGTGACATGGTCCTTTCATATCTCATCACCTGGCCCCTACCTTGCTGACGTTCACATTTATTTTTGTCAATGTGTTGTGTATTTCAATTGTATTGCTTCACGTGGTTTTTTTATTATTAGCCATCAGGGATTCCCTTTAGGAGAGACAAGCATATTGCTTCTTTTTCAGAGGGATTTCCCCACCACCACTATCCTATTTCATAAACTGCTAGATAGCTCAGTAGTTTGGAAGTTCGATTCCCCCACTGGGCCTCCTTGACATGGACCTGATGGTTCATAGAATCCCTTCCAGTTCTGCCGTTCAAAGTATTATAAGATTGGTTGTTGTGGTGTTTTTCGGGCTCTTGGCCGTGTTCTGAAGGTTGTTCTTCCTAATGTTTCGCCAGTCTCTGTGGCCGGCATCTTCAGAACAACCTTCAGAACATGGCCAAAGAGCCCGAAAAACCCACAACAACCATTAGATCCTGGCTGTGAAAGCCTTTGCAAATACATTATAAGATGATTATTATAACCTACATTTCAGATTCCAGCACAAAACACTCCAAATACAGTGGTGCCCCGCATAACGAGCGATTCGTTTAATGACAAACCCACATAGCAATGTTTTTTTGCCATCGCATTGCGATATTTTAGATGGCAAAACATCGCTTTGCGATGATCGGTAAGCGTTTCACTTACCGATTTTCACATTGTGATGTTTTAAAAACAGCTGATCGGCGGTTCCAAAATTCGGGCTCTTTGGCCATGTTCTGAAGGTTGTTCTTCCTAACGTTTCGCCAGTCTCTGTGGCCGGCATCTTCAGAACAACCTTCAGAACACGGCCAAAGAGTCCGAAAAAACCACAACCACCATTAGATCCTGGCCGTGAAAGCCTTCGCGAATATAAGATTATTATTATAACCTACATTTCATATTCCAGCACAAAACACTCCAAATAATGTTAATGATGGTGATGTTGCATTTCCCTGATGTAATAGCTGGTGAGATTATGATCAGGATGGGCTTCGGAAGAACTGTGAGTTTTTTGCCCATAGGAGCGCATTAAATGTGTTTTAATGCGTTCCTATGGGCTTTTTTGCCCCGCATAGCGACGAATCCATATAGCGATGATTTTTTCGGAACAGATTATCGTCGCTATGCGGGGCACCACTGTAATGTTAATAATAGTGATGTTACATTTCCCTGATGTAATAGTTGGTGAGATTATGATCAGGATGGGCTTCGGCTCTCCTTCCTTGAGGCAGGAGGCAAACAGCAGCCTTCCCACAATGGGCATCTTCCATCCTGACCCCCATCCTGCTCTGTTCAAAGCATCATCACTCTCCTCTGCCTTGTGCAACGAATGCTCTTTTCCAAAGGAGCCGGCTGGCGGTGGAGGGGAGGTGACGACAGAGTGGGTGGGGGGGTGAAGCAGGGGGGTGTAACGGAAGGATGCACAGAGGTACATGGGAAGGCAAAAGAGAAGGAAGAAAGGAGAAAAAGGAGGGAGCCTACACAAGTGGAGAAGCAAAAGAAACCCACCAGCCTCACAAGGTTTAATGCCTCCCTTTCCAATTTAAGATACTGTATATATATTTTAAAAGTCTTGCAAATAATTTCTATTCCTCCTTTTGAAATCTGTTACCACCCTCATTTTTTCTCGGATAGTTGCATTTATTACAAAAAGTTATAACCTATACAGTATAAATGTATGTCAACTACATACATATTCTATGCTGATGGATTAATTTCAATTCCCTCTTCCTCCGATTGGCCTCTGGGGACAGGACCCTGTGAGATCTCCCCCTAAACCCAGTAATCTCTTCTCCTTCTTCCTCAAGACCCCTTTTGTTCTTTTTCAGAGGAGGGTGGACATTTCCTGGAGGTCAGAGGGCCCTGAAACCACTGAGGGCCACTCCTACACCCTTCTCCTGCCCACTTTTTTGCCAGTTATCCATCTTTTCTTACATTTCACCTTGCACAGTTCAGAATCACCGTCTGTAGGGTTTTACACAACTAGTAGGTAAAACCTGGCCTTGCAAATGTTACATTTTGAGACTGCACATCCCAGAATCCACCAGACAACTCTGGCTTGTGGATTCTGGGGTGTGTAGTCCAAAAAAGAGAGGAAGCATTCCAAACTCTGGATAGGACTCAATGGTTCCCCCCCCCCGCCCCAGATCTTCTCCTTCTTAAACAGCCTCCTTTCCAGTCTGTAAGAACAGAGCACCAGGTTCAAAGCAGTGTCTTCGTGTCCTCTGAATCACAGCCACCGATGGCCTTATATTCAGGTTCTTGTGCAAGTGGCCTTTTAGCCTCGACAGCTTGCTGTTCCGAGAAATGGTTTTTTTGTGTCTGGCCGGGTCCACGGTGGCAACTATTTTGTGGCGGCGCCCAGGAAACCCTTTCAATGTTCCAGGTGCGTCCACCGCTCCAAACACTCAAGGGGCCTTTGGTGCTTTCCCGGACGGTGTGGATTTCGAGGTGAAAAGCAAAGTTTTCGCTTGTACGGAAGTTCTTTCCGCAGACCAGGCATTTAAACGGCTTAAACGCGTGAGTCTTTTTGTGGACTGTCAGGGTACTGCTTTGCGTGAAACTTTTCCCACACTCTGAGCACTGATAGGGTTTCTCTCCGGTGTGGGTCCTTTGATGATATGTAAGGGTGCTGCTCTGAGTGAAGCTCTTCCCACACTCTGAGCATTTGTAGGGTTTCTCCCCAGTGTGGATTCTCTGATGATCCATCAGGGCACGGCTTCGACCAAAACTTTCTCCGCATACGGAGCATTCAAAAGGCTTCTCCCCCGTGTGGGTTTTTTTATGATAAGCAAAGTTACTGCTCTGACCGAAGCGCTTCCCACACACTAAGCACTTATACGGTTTCTCTCCTGTGTGGGTCCTCTGATGATCGGTAAGGGCACGAATACGGCTGAAGCTCTTCCCACACTCGGAGCACGTATACGGTTTCTCTCCCGTGTGGATCCTGTGATGGTCCGCAAGGGTGCTGCGCTGACTGAAACCCTTTCCACACACTGTGCATTTAAATGGCTTTTTCCTTGCTGAAGTTTCCTTTCCTGCCTGAGAATCTCCCGCCATTTTATGGAACTCTCCCTCTTCATCTCCTGAGGGCTTCTTCCTCAACTTTTGCTCTGCTTCAGTCTTCTGCGCCATGTCCTCTTTATTTCGCTTCCTCTCGTCCCCTGAAGGAATAAAGAAAAGGAAACCAGTCAGGGAAAAGAATGGACTCATAAGTTGAAGAACACAGACATTGCCCAATCTGTATAAAGCACATTAGCAAAAATGTCAAAGAGGCAGCCCCATCTGCAGTTCTAAGATGAATAACAACATTCAATCAAGGAAAGAGAGGGAAAGAAACACTAAGCAGAGAGCTTTTTAAAAGCTGGTTGGTTACGAATGGTTGGTGAGTGCTGGATTGACCGACAATCACCCCAGTCCCTCTCAGTCACACAAACTACAGACAGCATGCGAGGTTGCAAGTAAAACTCCCAACAGCCTTACCCAAGGACTCCAGAATCCCTGAGCTCTCCTCCATAACCTCCCTGTGCAAACCCCTCTGGTCAGGATCCAGCACAGCCCATTCCTCGTCGGTGAAGTACACGGCCACATCCTCAAAGGTCACAGAGCCCTGAATACAAGGGAGGAAAATACATTTTCTCATTCCACAGAAGGTAGCAATCCTAATAATATAGCTGGATGTTTCTCACTTCCTGCTTTGGGGGAAAAGGACTCAGAGGCAGATAACAGAAGAATCACAAAGCCACTATTAAATGGGAAAGGAATAGCATTTGGTTCATAAGCAGACCCATCTCTCCGAGAGTTTTTCAGTGACTGGAGTATGAGATGCCACGAAAGGAGAAGTGATTTTGACAAAGCTGTCTCCCTGCCCCGTCTCCAAGTCTCCTACCTGATCTGACTGTATAGCAACTGCTTCCTGTCTTCTACCAGAAAAGCTTGAACCCGGACCTAGGTTCATTTCACCCCCTGTGAGGAAGATGGGAGTTTATAAGCACTTGGAATGTAATTTTGGACAGAAATGAGATTCACATATATAAATGGGCAAAATGTATACAACTAAAACTGTCATCAAAACTGCACTATTATGATCTATGTACATTGATCATCTTAATTTAATGCAGTATAAATCAATGAATCAAGCTGAAATATATCTCCTTAACCATCATTTAAGTTCATTTTTAAAATAACACCCTCAGTTTGTCAATTATAGCTGTTAAGAAATGTCCAGATTTGAAAGAAGCAAAATCCTAAATCTTAAGATCTACATTAAACACAAGAGTTGCTCAAGACTCTGTCTCATTGAACTCACTAGTGGAACTAATTTCTGAGCATACACATACAAGATTTGCTGTAGTTTTCTTCCAAGACTTTACAAAACGTTGTCAAATGTCCATAGAATATTATTTGCTCTACATCCTACCCAGAGTCTCCTTATTGTTTTATGCCAACATCTGACCTATAGAGAAATGAGTTTACACTGAACAATACTGAATATTATGAACCTCCATATACAGACTAAAAATTCTATTTAAAGCAAAAATGGGCAGGTTCCAGAAATCTGGATAAGCACCCCCATCCCTGAATTTGTAAAGTTTGCATCCTTGCCTGCATCCCACCCTAAAGTACTTTTCTTTATTATTATTATTATTGGTTTTTTGCTTGTGGAGTCCTACGTTTGATCTGGCAGGCCTTCTTTCTTCTCTTTTCATCGGCTCAGGAGGAGTATGAATGTTATCAGGCCTACTTCTGTCTGCAAGACCAGACCAGAAGAGGAACGGAGACCGACCCTCGTTGTCCCTTACCCAGTGAGATGGCCCCAGGGTTGCTCTCTTGACCAGTGCACTGAAATTTGGTCTTCTGCCCGGGGTCCAGCAGATGCTTCTTTGCCTCAGAGCGGTCTGTGGCTACTGGGCTGAACTGTCTTATCACCTGAAAGAGGGTCAGGCATGAGAGACACGGAAACATCTAACAACGAAAAGCAAAGGAACGGCATAGACCAAGCCCAGTATTTCTCTGCTTCTCTAAGCATGAGTCTCCTTCTAAAACGTATTCTGTCTAATTCACTCAATATCCCATGTTGCCTGCAGATTAGTCAGTCAGAAATAAATACTCATTTATTGCCACTGATTACTAGTGCAGGAATGAGACAAAGATACGTGCTTGCTGCTCTAAACAGTTAAGAAGTTTTTCCTGATATTCAGATGAAATCTGGCTTCCTATAGCTTGAGCTGATTATTACATGTCCTGCAGTCTGGGATGATCGGGAGCAGATCCTGCCCCTCCTCTGTATGATGACCTTTCAAGTATTTGAGAAGTATTATCCTATCTCCCCTCAGTCTTCTTTTCTCAAGGCTAAACACGGCCTGTTCTTTCAATCTTTCCTCATAGGACTTAGTAACCAGCTCCCTGATCATTCTTGCTGCCTTCTTCTGCCATAAAGCTACCTTCATTTTTATTTCTTCTTCTCTAGATGAAGAATAAATTTCTCTCTGTACCTCTCCAGCTCCAGAAAACCAAGTTAACAACTCCTGTTTCCTAAGTAGTGGAATGAATGACTGATTTCTACACTGTCTCTAAGGAATTATACACAATTTTTGTGAAGGATATGGGATCCCATCCTATATTGTCTTGATCCCAGGAGTTGATCCATCTCTCCAAATGCGGTTTTTAGAAAAGAATCTGGAACCTGGTTGCAAATATGTACACATCATTCCATGTGTTTTATACCCCTTCTGATTAAAAAAAAGGATGAGCTATTCTCACCTGTTTTGCTTCCTGCTTCTTCTTCTCTTCTGCCTGACTCAGGAGGAAGCCTTCGGCCAGGGCCACCGCCTGGGAACTGGTCTCCGCTCCACATTCCCTCACCCAGCTGGACATCTCCGGGGGAAGGATGGCCAAGAATTGCTCCAGGATCACCAGGTCCAGGATCTCAGCCTTGGTGTGCCTTTCTGGCTTCAGCCACTGACAGCAAAGGAAATGAAGCTGACTACAAACATGCCTCGGCCCCATGGCGTCCTGGTAGCAGAACCCTCTGAAGCGCTGGGACGGCTCATCGGAATTGCCGTGCTCCGTGCTCGGCTTCTCCTGCACCGTTCCTTCCCAGAAAGCTTTGGGGCTTCCAAGCTGAGTGGCATAAACGCCTCCACGTCTTCCTCCAGGACCAGTCAAATTTTGCTCCTCCATCCTTGACCCTTGATCCAGCTCTGCCTCCCACAGGAGTCGAAGGATCGCCTTGCTCTGCTCCCAGTTTCTCTATTAAGGGAAGGACAGGTGGACCTCAGGATACACCGAGGAAGCCGGAGCATGCTTTTCTCAAACCTCATTGTAGAATAAAGACAAATGAATACCATAATTCAAAGGAAGAAGTGAAATCAGGGGTAGCAATTCCTTCTCTTGCATCAGGCCTGACAGTTCCCCATGACCAGACAATCTAGTTTCAAGTCATTTCAAAAGCCCGGGAACAATCTATTAAATATGTCGCCTTTTACTTAATTCTATTTCTTAGCAGTCTTTCTCTTACTTAAATCATGACATGACACCGACGTTCATTTATTCATGCAGCCTATCATTAAGGAAAATCTTGTTTGAATAGAAAGGTCTTTGCCTGCTTGCGGAAGGACAGCAAAAAATGAGGCCAGTGGGAGGGAGTTCCAAAGTCTGGGAGCAGCAACAGAGAAGGCCCTCTCCTGTGTTCCCACCAAACTGCTGGATAGCTCAATGGTTTAGAGGTTGGGAGTTCGATTCCCCACTGAGCCTTCTTGGCAGGGGCTGGACTTAATGATCCATAGGGGCCCCTTCCAGGATTGCAGTTCTAAGATTATTCTAAGATTATAAGACTGCAGTTCTAAGATTATTCTAAGATTATAAATGCACCTGTGAAGGTGGAGGGAGTGGAAGGCCTCCCTTGATGATCTTCACATCCGGGCAGGCTCATACAAGGAGATGCCACCTTTGCGATCGTTTTGACTCAAGCCATTTAGGGCTTTATAGGTTGAAAGCAGCACTCTGAACTGTGCCCAGAAACGGATTGGCAGCTGGTGGAGCTGCTGTAACTGGGGGGTGGGTGGGATATGTGCTCCCTTTAACCACCCCCAGTCAGCTCTGGCTGCTGTGCATTGGACCGCTGAAGTTTCTGGACACTTTCCAGAGGCATTCTTAGGTAGAGTGCATTACAGTAAACCAGCCAGGATGTCACTAAGGCATGTGTCACTGGAGCCAAATCTGATATTTCCAGGAACGGGTGCAGCTGGCGTACTAGTTTTAAATGCGCAAAGGCACTTCTGGTCACAGCCGAAAACCTGGTCGCCCGGACTCCGAGAGGAATCCAGGAGCACCAAAGCTGCATACAGTGGGGTCTCGACTTACAAACTTAATCCGTATTGGAAGGCAGTTTGTAAGTCGAAAAGTTTGTAAGTCGAATCAGCATTTCCCATAGGAATGCACTGAAAACCAATTAATCTGTTCCGGCTGTTTTTGGTTCTTAGGTTGAGGGGCATTTCCCATAGGAACTAAGGCAAAGCCGGTTAATCTGTTCCTACCACTAGGGGCAGAATTTCTTTTTTTCCTTTTAATCTAAAATGACTTAGGTTAAAAAAAAGGAAAGAAATGAGGGAGAGAAGGAGGGAACAGACACCTTTTCAACAGAACACCCTGAAAAGCACATTTTCAGCCAAGACAAGTACCTTCTGGAAAAAACCAAGCACCTTTCAGACAACAGATCACCTTGAAAAGCACCTTTT